TAAATTTTATGATTTAAATTTCATTATCGAGATTACTTTTACAGATTTTAATTTATTTTCTAATTAATTAAAGAATGTGAATTTTTTAACTTTAAGCTTAAAAAAATTTAATTTGTTTTCTAGGATCCAACACAGAAATTTATATATTAAAAAAAACCCTTACAAATCTGTGAGAAACCAATAAGCACTTAGACCTCTTAAGCTTAAGTAAACATTAGTGTATAAATAAAACATAGTGACTCAGTTAGGTATAGAGGCAATTTATGTCATATTTTGATATAGGCCCTAGAAATCCTTGCTCTATGTTTGTAGATAACTGCAGGGTGTTTGTCCCAACTGCATCAATAAAGAAATGAGATAGATCATGCGCTTCTCTGTCCATTGCCTTACAGACAGTATAAGAATGCATATAGCATGATATAAGTGCAGACATCGAAAGAAAAGTAAATCAAATTTATTTCTTTTATTGCATTCATGGGATGCAAAATGTTTTTGTCTAAAAAAAAAAAAGAAAAAAAATCAAGTTACAAGCCTTGTACAGACTGCAAAAATAGGATATCATAACCGAAAAGAAAAGGGATTATTTATGAAAATCTGAAGAAAGCATTTCAAGTTTTTATATATAAATAAAAAAATATATTATAAAAGAAAAAAAAGGAAATAAATTTTATAGTAAATAAATACTTTTTCCCCCCACTTTAATATATTAAATATTTCTTTTATAAAATAATTTATTACATTTACACAGTCAATTTTTGATAAACAATTAAGCAAATCACTTTATAAGTGGTTTGTACATTTAACAATTAAAAAAAAATGTTTACTTATAACGATATAAAACTTAAAAAAAGTTCTTTTCACTTGTAAATTTTTAACGTTTTAAAATATAATAATGAAAAAAAATTAATTTATTTATGAGCAAAGTGAATAAACTTCTGTTAAAAATATTTACTTAATAAGTTACAGCAGTTGTCACCACGCCGAATTACCTCATTTTTATGTAAATCTGTTAGAATTTTTATGAATTGTAAAATTTTATTATTATTATTATTATAAATACTCGCAAGTATACAAAAATTTACATTTACACTTTATAATTTATACGACTTTTTATGAATTCCGAGAAGATTTTAACTCATTCATGCCCTTAACATCTTCTCTAATCACGTAGTATTTAACTATTTGCTAATTTTTCTTCTCACGTTACAGTCATATTGTTCCCGATAAAAGGAAATGGGGGAGAGGAAAGAAAAATAGAGGATGTAGAGGAAGAAAAAAAAAGCAAAGACAATAGCAAGGAAATAATGAAACCGGGTACAAATTTAGTAGATATTTTCTCATCCTTAATATCAATCCTGGGAGAGAAGTTTGTAAAAAGTACTTTACTTCTAAAAGAATTTTCTGGTGTTTTATATCACTTCATCTGTTCAAAAGCAGCTTTGTACTTCAGTATCGTTATCGGTTCTTACAATTCCGTTCCTATCAAATTTACGGTTGTTCGCTCCTATTGCCATTTGTCAGAGATGCTCTATTTTATAGAACATACCCTATAACTGACATTTAGAACATCTCGATTTTTCTTTGGTTATTCTTTCTATAGAATATCCATTCTATTCTTCTAACTTTCCTTTTTTTTTCCTATTCTGTATACTTTAAGATAATCAACTTCCTGGAATGGTATGGCCTCACAGGCGTGCATTTCTTCTGTCCAAGGTCAGCCTATGTTCGAGTAATAAACACTTAACAGGTGCAACTATTTAAAGAAGGAAAGAAAAAAAAGTATAATGAAGTTTGGTAGATAATAAAGTATTATCTAAAATAAATTCATAAAAATATTTTAAGAATTTAAATTAGAACTCGTGTATAAAATGTTATCAAAGTAACACGCTCGTACCAGTTTTATTTTGTTTAAAATGCTCTTAAAGTAGTGAGACACGTCACGCACCTTTTAGAATAATTTTAGTTTAAGTTTAAGTTTTAAAAATTTTAAAGTATTTTGATAAGGGAAATAAAGTACTAGTAACGCGTGATAATATTATAAACACGCTTAATCTTTGCCAAATTCTTGAAAATTGCTACTTTCTATAATCAGTTTTCAATACGTTAAAGTGTTATTAAACTTCAATTCTTCTGTTTATGTAAATTTATATACAATATTTTTAAAATTTTAGTATATTTTAGTATAAATTAAATCGCCGAATTTCTCAAAATTTACAGTTTTTTTCAGCATCGTCATTACTAATTCATTGTTACCTTCGAGTGTGGAATGAGGAAAACTATCAATTTGGGGATTTTTCTGTAAGCAACTCACATATTCTTTAAGATAAAAATGCATGATTAAATATCCGGCCCCACTAGAGTTAACTGGAATAGATTCATTCCGCCCATCTCAATTCTTCAACCCACTGGAGTAGTCATTAACAACCTCGCTATAGTCTTTAACGTGCCCTTTACAATCTTAATTCATTATATTCACGTCTATCCAAATCAACATTGAAATTTATTTAAAGATTTTGATAAGAAAAAGGTCAACGACATTTTGTAGAAGAGTAATTTTTAAGCATTTCTCTTCTTTAAAATTATTAAAATATTTCTAAAATGATTCGCTCCACCACAAGAAAATTGAATAAATTTAACATAATTTACACCCTTTCTCTCTTATCGTAATTTATATTTTATTACTATTTAATTAATTAATTAACATAAAATAAATACTAAATTTAAATATAAGAGATGAATCTAGACGTGCCCAATTAGTATAAAGTAATGATAAATATTATTATAAATTAATATTTATCATTCTATCGCCATTGTTTTTAGTCTTTATCAACTTCCTTCTTCTACTTTCTCTTATAATTAATAAATTTTTGGCCTTGTTCCATTTTGACCTACGAAATTTTTACATTCAAATCATGTTGTCGAGTACTAAGTGACGTTAACAAAAATTGCAATCTAAGATTAATTTATTGATAAATAATTAATTATTTATCTATATTTTTAAAAAGTATATCTTATTAAATATTAGTCTATACAGAGATCAATTTAATAATAATAATAATAATAAAAAGAAAATTGTAAGTTAGGAAGTGATGTGGATGTTTACCCTGGAGGATTTTCTAGTATATTTTTGTTATCAAATTTTCAAGAAACTTCGGTTATCTTGCTTTACAAACAGAGAAAATAGACTTTTTTTAATAATAATATATTTTTTTTTTATTCTTTTCTTAAAGTTGAAATTTATTCGAATTTTAAAAAGTTAAAAATGATGATTCAACAAAATTTATTACAACAAAATAGAAAAGAAAAGTAAAAATACAACGTCTATAAGTACGGATTATCTACGGTATTTTAATTTATTACCATAGAATTTCCATAGAAATTCTTTAGAAAGAGTCGAACAAACAATTAGCTTATATAATATTAAGAAAAACGTGACTTTTGAACGAATGAATATAAACAAAACACTCGAATTCTAAGAAAATAAAATGGTAAAAATGTTAAACGACAAGCCTTAAAAAATAAATAAGACGTATAACGATGCGATCTTTTGACACTTATTTAACTGGAAACTCGCTTAAAAATACAGTATATTTGTTTGTTATTATAAAAGATGTGAATAAAATCTTGTATAAAAGACATGGGAAAGAAAAGTAGAATTGTTACAACAAATGAAGATAAACAAATATAAAAGTTACGAGAGAATAAAATAGAGAAATATGTTACGATGACAGACAGACAAACTGACAGAAATTTGTGATGATAAACTAGAGGAAAAAATTTCTTAAAATAACGTTGACAGTAGCGTTATAATGATAGACATACATCAGAATTGTATGACGACATAGAGACGGAAAAATTATATAGAAAAAAAAACAAATAAGTCGGTTTCTTTGATCCAAATTTATTTATTTATTTTTTTTGCTATAAATTCTTATTTAATCAAATTAAGTATCACTTTTAATTACACAAAATTAGGCTCGTAAAAATAATTAACTATAAATTCTTTTATATCATTAAATTTAACAAAAGAGGGATGGACCAAAATTCGATTAACCCTATTTTATTTTGTGTGTTTTGATTATAATTATTCAACACGTTAAAAAATTGCTGTTAAAATTGTTTAAGGAATTTTTAATGGTTAACTGACTTTTAATCCATTTTCTTTATTTAATTAACTAAACTTTACAAAACATTCTTAACCAATTAAGATTAAAAAGGGGGGGGAAGGGTTAGTATTTTATTTTAAGTAACGTAATTAAATTTATACTTGGAAAATAAATTATGCAAAAATTACACTGTATCGAAAGTAATTTTTCCTATTAATTTAAGGGCAGTATATAAAGTGTTAAACTTCAATTAGAATTCGAAATTTAAGTTTGTGTAAAAGTTGAAATTCGATATTTGTCCTTTGGGCATTTGTCGACTCAAGTTGATTGCTTTCCTCATTTGTTATGCTTTTGTCGCATGATTCAGTATACGAAATCACTTAAGCAACAATTTAAATTTGATTCCCATTCATTCATTCTCTTCATTAAAATAAATATTGTATAAGTTAAATTTAGTCTTCTTTTTTATCATCATCTTCTTCTTCTTTAAAATAAAATAGTGGAAGACTAAAATAAACTAGAAGAGGTTACGTAAACAAACATTCAATCTAAACTTTAACTTAGATTTGTTACTGAAACAGTTTTAATTTTGTTTCTAGTCCATCTCTTAGAGTTTTTTTTTTATGATTTTTCAACAGAAAATCAATTAAAAAATCGATTTACATCAATATATTTAATGGTTGATTACACTAGAAGAGGTTAAAATATCGTCTCATGCCATTACTTTCCTTACGTCAATCAATGAGATTTAACATTGAATGAATGTCTTCATTAATTTAAGAAAAAAAAAATATATAGCAAATTTTACAAAGTACTTTTCCTTTCAACTATCATCAATCTTCAGGATTAAATTATTACAATTTAAAGACTAAATTCCTTTCTATTTTCTTTCAAGAAAAAAAAAATATATAGTATATTTTACAAAGTACTTTTCCTTTCAACTATCATCAATCTTCAGGATTAAATTATTACAATTTAAAGACTAAATTCCTTTTTAACTATAAGATTGAATGCTAATGGCAGCAGCATGGGCTAATAGTGCATTTATGGCCTGTTTTGTTTCCAAAAGTAAAATTACCTCATTAATCCAACTCTTTGCTACATTTTTTGGTTCTCCCGTTAACTGATTGGCATATCTGAGTGCCTGTTGAAGATCTTCCAAAATAATACTTTGGTCAATACGTTGCAAAATATCAAATGTATCCCATTTGTCAGGGTCCACTGCACTCTTATTCATTAACTCGTCATTAGGTATTTTTTTGTGTATTATTAAAAATGATTGAAAATAAGAAAGGAAATAATGATATAGACTACGGTGATCGTCATCAATTAAGGCTACTCTGCGGCAAATCCTGTCCACTTGCCTGAAGCGTTCTTTCAGAGCTTCTTCTGTGTAAACACCTCTGGTAAGAGCAAGCTTGGGAATACTGTTGAGGATGGTCAAGATAAATTTATCCTTTGAATTAATGGAACTACGAATAGCNTGAAAATAGTACATTAATTCAGAAAATACAATTGTCTTCATGTCTTTTGATGCATTTACAGAGGACACTGACTTTAATGTTTTATATATATATATATATATATATATGGGGAAAAACGTGAAGTTTTCAAGTCGTGTCGCGCCGCATGGCTGCTGCAAATATCTCAACCGTTAGAACTAAATTTAAATTAGAATTAATGCGAATTATAAATTAACCAGTTTATGTATGCATTATAATTATTTTAAACCATTTATACTTATTTAATCTCCATTAAATCTATAGTTATGAACGTCGAGTTAGTCACTAGATCAAACATTAAAATGAATACTTAAGAATCGTAAAATCAAAACTGGTATTATCATATTAAGATAAAAGCGTGATATCAGTTCATTCATTATCATCAATTAAAGCAATAACACGAGTTAAAACAGCTCTAGTATCATAATAAAATTAAGAATTATAAGCCATTTTTATGAGTAATTAATTGCTAATTTTGTTAATTAGGGTGGCAAGATTTGCAAAAGTAAAATTTCAGTAAGATTAATTGCTTTGGAGATCTGCAAAGGTTGCTTTTTACACGTGTCCTTTATAAAAGAAAATAAAAATTTACACAATATTTCAATGACAACTTTTCCTACAAGAAAACTAAAAATTCGAGCTTGTTAAGTACTTACTTTATTATCCAATGTCTATTGTTCTAACTTTTATATAATTGCAAAGCTTGTATAATACGGAAGTTGATAGTCAGCAATGGAAAATTCTGCTTTACCAAGGAAAACTTTTCATAAATTTAAATGACCCGTGCTACTATCAGCCAAGCGTGCTACCTTACACACACAACTCTACCTTACATGCTTATTATTTTCCAACAAAATAATTTTATAATGGATCGATATTTCTCTCTTTCGTCTTCATTTTTCAAAAATTTACGCCAAAAACTTCAGTTTTAACTCATTCGAAATAGTTTTTTTTTATACCGCAAAAATTGTATTTTTCTTTTTCAGGAAACTCGTTTATATTTAATTTAAATTAGATAAATATTGTATAAGTTAAATTTAGTCTTCTTTTTTATCATCATCTTCTTCTTCTTTAAAATAAAATAGTGGAAGACTAAAATAAACTAGAAGAGGTTACGTAAACAAACATTCAATCTAAACTTTAACTTAGATTTGTTACTGAAACAGTTTTAATTTTGTTTCTAGTCCATCTCTTAAAGTTTTTTTTTTANTACTTTTTTTGTTTCTTTTAGGTTTGGTGGTATTACTTGGGCCTAATACTTTTTCTGACCCAGAAAATTTTATTCCTGCAAACCCCTTGGTGACTCCTGTCCATATTCAGCCAGAATGATATTTTTTATTTGCTTATGCTATTTTACGCTCTATCCCGAACAAGTTAGGAGGTGTTTTGGCTTTAGTTTTATCTGTGTTAATTTTAGTGTCTTTAAGTTTTATAGAAAAGTCTGTACGCTCTCTTTCTTTTAGTTTATATGGGCGAATTCTCTTTTGATTTTTTGTCTGTTTCTTTTTTCTTCTGACTTGAATTGGAGCTCGCCCTGTAGAGTTTCCTTATATTTTAATTGGCCAAGTTCTCTCTGTTCTCTATTTTTCATTTTTTGTTATGTTTTGATTCAAGTAGTTATTTAGCTAACATAAGCTTTTGTTTTGAAAGCAAAAAATAGGAACTCTTCTTAGTAACTTTTCTTAAAATGATACTTAATAAGAGATAAGAAGTATTTTAATGGCTAGAATAATTAGTGTATAGTTTAAAGCCAAAGGAAGATATATTTTTCAAGCTAAACCTATTAACTTATCATATCGAAAACGGGGGTATCTACCACGAACCCACAAAAAAAGGAACTTGATTTTATTAATATAAATATACATATATATATTTTTTTTCTAAGGTATATTTTTTTCCTCTTTACATTAAATATTTTTAGATTATATACATACACATACACAGAATAATAAAAGAAATGAATTTCTTTTATTATTCAGAGAAAATTTCATCTAAATTTCCTTAAAGTATTAAAGAAATTAAACAAAGAAAAATCCATTATACTGATAAAACAATAGAAGAAGAGTAAGAGAACAGCAACAAATTCTTTTTCATTTTAAAAATACAAAAAAAAAAAAGAAAAGAAAAAGCAGCCATCTATATTTACAAATAGAATGCATTTAGAAGATAAAAATATTTTTCAACATAGACACAAAACTTATATATGAACATAAGGCTATGTTTTTCAATTGTTTTTATGTCGCAAATTCTCCTACTTTGATTCCCTTTTTTTTCACTTCTTTTACTTTTATTTTTAATATTTTACCAAAGAGCAAAGACGTTATAAAATGTAATTTAATGATATCTGTTACATAAAACTCTTGGAATGTCAAAAAAATAAGTTAAGAATAGGGAAAAAGAAAAAAGAAAAAGAAAAGGGTATTCCATCTTGTTGAACCACTATCGTTTTATAAAGGAAATTCCTATCTTTTTGAAATCTTTTGTAAAAAAAAATGAATATATATATATATGTAAAAAAAAAAAAAAATCCAACATGTATTACATATGGGAAGTTGCACGTTGATTGTTTTAGGAGTCCCAAGCAGAACCCACAAACAGCAAGAAAATAGTAAACGATTTTAAACAGAAGCAGAAAACTTCCAGTCGACAAGACAACAATCCATTATTCCAGACAAGTCTGATCGATTTAATCGCTTCTTCTAACCTTTCTCTTTCTTTCCCACCCATTTTAACGCTCTGCTAGTATTCGCCACCTTTATAATACTGTCAAAATCCAATCCAGCCAATTTTCTATTGAAAGTGCACCACATAACTTGATGCTCTTTTCTTCTTTTAAATTTCTTTACAACAGTAATTATCTTTATTTTCTTTATATATTTTTGTTGTATAATCTTACACAACGATACAATATATATATATATATATATAATCTTTATATAAGAAATTCTATCTGGCAGAACAATTCTTAAGTCTGAACGTAAAATTGTACAAGAGAAAATAGAGTAGAGTATATATGGAATTGTATATATACCATCGTGGATGGTCCACGATGCCGCAAAGCACACAGATTGTATTTTTATATAGAAAATCAAGTCGCCTAAGGCACGAATCGTTATAAAACGAAAATTTTGTTTTCTACTCTCATCTTTTCTTAATATTTTTTTGTGAAAAATAATCAAATTCTACCCTAGGCGCCCATCTAGATGGTAATGGCGCCTGTGCTGCTAAACATATGAAGAAAATTCGATTTAATCAAAGGAGTGAAGCCCTTCATTCATGCAAACCATCGAATTTTTGATCTATAAATTTAAACCCGANAAAATCAATATTTTGTCAAGTGAAGTATTAATAGGATGTCTAAACCATCTCTTGATTAAATTTTGCTTAGATTTTTAAATACTTTTTGATAATTACAAGCAATTTTGAGCTTATTTTTATAATTTATAGGTTGTGTTTGATAGAAAATATATAAAATATCACAGATTTGTTGCTAGATAATTGAAAAATTAAGGTGGGAACATGTCTACTTACAAGCTAATAATTGCAAATGTATGTCCTTAAAGGGTAAAGTTCTCGATAAGAATCTTATTTCGTCACCAAACTTTATAAAATAAACATCAAAGGGTAGACGAAAATGTAGTAAAACAGGCACATCCCACAACTTTCTAGGAAGTTAAAAGTTTGAATAAACATTAATGATAGGTTTGTCATTTGTCAAACTTTCCTACCGGATGTCTAGAAGGATACTCGTTCAAACCACGACAGATACGTGCTTTTATTTCAAAAAATGATGTTATGAGTCACGAAAATAATAAATCAAGATTCAGGATTTTTCTAGTCACACCTTTTCTATAAAAATTTCGACATGGAAAAAGACACCCGAAAGAAAATGCACACAATACGTGACGGTTTAAGGTCACATTTACTCATAACGCCGTCCACACATTGGTGTATCATTCTGCCACCCATGACACTACTACGCCTCAGGCATCTTAATTCTCATATTTTACCAGAGACATTTTCTTTGTAGTTCAACTTTAAGTAACTTAAAAATGTCGCAGAAAATAGTGTTGCAATCTCTACAACTTTCATTCATTCATTGTTAGAATAATACAGCTTTGAAGTTTCTTTCGCAATTATCTTTCTATTGTAAAGAAACTATTTTAGTTAAAAATTTTTGAATATTTTTCTTAGAAGAAAGTGTGGGAATGTGCGCCACTAACTTAACACAATCCAAAGATAAATGAGTTTTTGACATAAAGTTACAATCTACAATAGAAAAACAGCATTTTTTTTTAAAATTTAAAGTAATTTTATTATATTTTACAGTTGATAATTGTACAACTAAGTAAAATATAAGCATAGAAAGTTTAGTAAATAGAGACAATAACGTTGATAGTTTTAAGAGTAATCGTAATTGAGATAAGTGAAAAGGATGAAAGTGTCCAATCACTTTTCTTGATGGTTGATAATTGCAAAACTGCAGCATTTCACCAGGAATCCTGATCAAATTGTCTCTTCTAATGACTCCTACATGACATTTCAACTGGCTTTCTAAATCATACTAATTAGAAAATAGACCGACTATCTTCCTTTGGGCAATCATCAGGATGAGTAGTGCATTATAATGAAGCTACTCGATGCACTCTTCATTGTCTGAGCGATAAAACAACCTTTAGTTTCACAAATTAACTTGGCCCTCATAGGGTTAAAATACTTTTAATTATACAATTGCATATATATAAAATTAAAATTTATTGAATTTCATTGAAAACCATTCTAACCAATACCTTTATAGAGCCATATAAACCCCCCCCCCACACACACACCCATATATATTTTTAAATGGTTAAAAAAATTAATTTTAATCAAATATTTTAGCTAAATAAATAAAATTATACTTTATTCATATTATAAAGTTTAATTTATATAAAAAATTTCATATAATTTTGTGATTTTTTTTTTCCTTTAGTAATCTGCATAAAAATTTACTTAACTTTTATAAAATAACTTTAAAATATATAAACCTTAAAAAGACATATTATATTTCATAACAGATATAATAATTAACATAAAAAACCGGATTTTTCAATGATATTCTTGAAAAATTGCAGTAAGTATTTCCTAATTTATAACACACTTCCTTCTGTTTCGTGCATAGAGCAAGTTTTGATGATCCTCATGATAAAATACAGCATTTCTCCTTCTTAAAATTAGGTCATGCTACCTATTATTAAACATTGTATTCATTATAATTCTTAATTCATAATTGTAGTATATCCTTCAAACTACTTTTTCCTAGAATATTAAACATGGAAGATCAACATTAAGTAACTCCAATGTTGCTAAACATACAAGAATTTAGGACGAAGTTAACTCTAAAATAACTTGTAATACAAGAAAAATAATGAGTGGTCCACGATGCCGCAAAGCACACAGATTGTATTTTTATATAGAAAATCAAGTCGCCTAAGGCACGAATCGTTATAAAACGAAAATTTTGTTTTCTACTCTCATCTTTTCTTAATATTTTTTTGTGAAAAATAATCAAATTCTACCCTAGGCGCCCATCTAGATGGTAATGGCGCCTGTGCTGCTAAACATATGAAGAAAATTCGATTTAATCAAAGGAGTGAAGCCCTTCATTCATGCAAACCATCGAATTTTTGATATATAAATTTAAACCCGAATAAAGTTTTTGATTTCCTACCCCCCCCCCCGATTTCCTTAAATTATTATTATTTTTTTTTGTTTTGAAAAGGGGCTAGTTTGTTGTTGTGTTCTTTGTTTTGATTTATTGTAATGAATAATTTTTTGGGCTTATTTCCGTTTGTCTTTACAGCTACTAGTCATCTACTAGTAACTCTTGTTCTTGCTTTACCTTTTTGGCTTTCTTTAATACTTTTTGGATGGATTAATAAGGCTCGTCATATGTTTGCTCATTTAGTCCCTTTAGGGACTCCTGTTTTGTTGATGGGTTTTATGGTGTTGATTGAAACTGTTAGAAATTTTATTCGCCCTATTACTTTGTCTGTGCGGTTAGGGGCTAATATGATTGCAGGTCATTTGTTGCTTGTTCTTTTGGGCTCAGCTATTACACTAAGTGGGGTTATGGTGGTTTGTGGGGTTTTTGCTTTGAGCTTATTGTTATTATTAGAGTTGGCAGTGGCTTTTATTCAGGCTTATGTTTTTATGGTTTTGGTTGGGCTATATTCAGCTGAGATTTAGACTATGAAAAATTTTCATCCATATCATATGGTTCATTTAAGTCCCTGGCCTTTGACTGGGGCTTTAGGGGGGTTGTTTTTGGTGAGAGGGCTGGTTCGTTGTTTTTATAGGATAGGTGGGAATTTATTGTTTTTGGGGGGTTTGATTTTACTTTTAACTAGTGTTCAATGGTGGCGAGATGTTGTTCGTGAGGGGTGTTTAAATGGAGATCATAGCTTGCTAGTGGTGAAGGGGCTTAGGGTTGGTATGCTTTTATTTATTGTTTCTGAGGTTTTCTTTTTTGTTTCTTTTTTTTGAGCTTTTTTTCATAGAAGTCTAGCTCCTACACTGGAGTTGGGCTTAATTTGGCCCCCGTTTATGATTGAGGGATTTAATCCCTTTCATGTTCCTTTGTTGAATACTTCGATTTTGCTAGCTTCTGGAGTGAGTGTGACTTGGTGTCATCATAGAATTTTAAGGGGAGAATACTTTCAGGCTGTTTTTAGTTTGGGCTTAACTTTATTTTTAGGGGTGTATTTTTCTGTGTTACAAGGGTTTGAATATTATGAGGCTGCTTTTGGTATTTATGATTCTGTTTATGGGTCTACTTTTTTTATGGCTACTGGTTTTCATGGTTTACATGTTTTGATTGGTAGAACTTTTTTAGGGGTTTGTCTTTATCGTTCTTGTCGTTTTCATTTTTCTGGTTGACATCATTTTGGATTTGAGGCGGTTGCTTGATATTGGCATTTTGTTGATGTGGTTTGATTATTTTTGTTTGTTTCTATTTATTGGTGAGGTAAGTGTCATATTAGTATAATAGTATAACTGATTTCCAATTAGTAGGTTTATATATGATTATTTTTATTTTAGGGGTTGTTTTTTGTTTTTTGTTGGGGGCGTTGGTTTGAGGTGTTGGGGCGGTGTTATCTAGGAAAGGAGAAGTAGATAAGGAAAGGGGGGCTGCTTATGAGTGTGGATTTGAGTCTTTTGTTATGGCTCGGGTTCCTTTTTCTTTACAGTTTTTTTTAGTTTGTGTTATTTTTTTGATTTTTGATGTAGAAATTGTGTTAATATTACCTTTAATTTTTGTTTTTGATTATGGTTTGTTTTTATTTGTTTTGTTTGTTTTATTTGTTTTAATTTTGTTATTAGGTTTATATTTTGAGTGGAGTGAAGGGTCTCTTGAGTGGGCGAAGTAGGTGGGTATTTAAATTTATAATATTTGGTTTGCAATCAAAAGGTGTTTTTCTCCATCTTTAGTGAGAAGCAAGTTTTGTGTTTAGTTTCGGCCTAAAAGAGTGGATATATCCCTCGCTATTAACAGAAGCTTTTATAGTGTCCCACTGTTGATGGGAAGGAGGGGAACCCTGTTATGAAGAGGGGTGTTGGGCTGCTAACTCGACTTGTAGCATTATTGTTAACCTCTTAGTCTTTGAAGTAGATTTATATTAGATTTTCGATCTTAAGATGCTTTGGCCTTAGATACTTAAAGATTTTTCACCTAATCTTCTTCAAAGATTTGCTCTGTTTTAAGCTATTTAAGTATAGGGTAGTTGTTATAAGGAGTATGAGGAGAGACGCGGAAATTATTATAAGAGTGTTGAGTTTTTGAGAGTTTGAAATAGTTAGAGACAAAGTTTTAATAGTTTGATGGGCTCCTTGCGGTCCTGAAAGCTCTCTTCATCCGGATTCGGAAATTTTGATTATTGTGAGAGGAGGAAGGAGTCTTAGGGTAGGATGAGGGGTAATGATTGGGAGGAATCATATGTTTCCTGAGAAGCTTTTGTGGAGTTTTGGGTTAGGTGTTCTTAAGGGGTTTGTGATTCATATGGTAATTGAAAGCAGGGCTCCTAAAGTAATTAGGAGGATTCTTGTAATTTTTGTAATTGTTGGTATTGGTAAGGAATTTGGTGTGTCTAGAAGAGTTCAGTTTATTATTGCTCCAATGAAGATTGATGTTGTAGTTAATGTGATGATAGGTGTTGTTATTTTTTTTGTTTCTAAGATTGCTGTTGTTTTTGGTCCTAGATTATTGAATCAGAGTGTTATTAAGGTTAATCGAAGAGAGTATATTGTTGTTAGTCCAAATGAGATTAGTGTTATGATTAAAATTGTTTGATTAATTTGTGATGAAATTAGTGTCTCTAGAATTAGGTCTTTTGAATAAAAGGCGGAAGAAAAGGGAAGACCCATTAATGTGATAGATGAGATTATTATACAGGTGCTGATAGTGGGGGAGGATGAAATTAGAAGAGACATTTTTCGTATGTCTTGATTATTTTTTATGTTGTGAATAGCGAATCCTGCGCATAGAAATATTAAGGCCTTGAAGAGAGCATGAGTAATTATATGGAAATAGGCTAGCTTTCATAGACTTAAGGATAGGGCTAGTATTATGATGGCTAGTTGGCTTAGGGTTGATAGGGCAATAATTTTTTTTATGTCTATTTCTATTGTAGCGGATAAACCGGCCATAAATATTGTTAAAGTTGATGAGATGAGAAGGACTAAGAAAATTTTATAGTTTATTATGTTGTGAAATCGAATTAAAAGGAATACTCCTGCAGTGACTAAGGTTGATGAGTGAACTAGTGCTGATACAGGTGTTGGGGCTGCTATAGCAGCCGGAAGTCAGGCGGAAAAGGGGATTTGTGCACTTTTAGTTATGGCTGCGATTATAATTAAGGTTAGGGGGATAGGATTATTTAATAAGGTGTTTATAGATAGAATATCTCAGGAACCAAAAGAAAGGGAGAGAGAAATTGCTATTAGAATTATCACATCTCCAATTCGGTTTGATAGGATGGTGATTGTTCCTGCGTTTAAAGAGCGAGAATTTTGGTAGTAGATTACTAAACAATAAGATACTAGCCCTAGGCCGTCTCACCCCAATAGGACTCTTATAAGATTTGGTCTTATAATTAATATGATTATAGATAAAATAAACAGGAGCACTAAGTAGTTAAAACGTGTGGGGTACTTTTCTTCGGCTATATACTCTTCTGAGAATCATAGTACTATTCTTGAAATGATAAGGACTGTAGTAGAGAAGATTATTGAAATGTAGTCTATAATTAAAATTATTTCTAGGTTGGTGGAGGCTAATGAAATAAAGCAAAAGGAAAAGAGGATTGCATAGTTTTTATGAAGTATAAACCCTCTTATTATTAAAGGGAAAATGCTAATTCTTAGGATTATTTTGCTTCAGAGCTTGAAGGTCATTGATATCTTAGATTATTTTTTAGCTCCACAAACTAAGGTTTTATATAAACTACTAAGATAGATTCAGAATATTATTAAATCCATTTTAATAATTAGGATATTTAAGGGAAGCCAGTGAAGAAAGATGGAAATAAAGTCTCGGACTGAGGGGTTAGGTTGTGGGGAGCTTTCTCAAGGGTGTCCATGACTAGGGGCGGAAAATAAGAGAATACAATATGTTGCAGATAAGAAAGAGATTAAGNCAAACATCAATAACATCACTGTTAGCATGTATTCAAGCGCCATTATCTTTTAATTGCACTAATGGCCTTAATGCAATATTTGCAGGACTAAACAAGGCTGCTGGATATGCTCCTACCGAATGTTTTTTAAGCCGATATTGGACAGCCTGCATTAATTGAAATGGAGTGCCATAAGTGCCATCTGAACATTCCTCCAACAACCCCAGTCCTGCTTCGGCGATGTAATTGTTTTTCTTTAATTCTACAACAAAACAAAAAGAGAAAGTCAAAGTCAATAAAAAAGTAATTAAAAATGAAAATCGCTTGCAACGATTCACCTTGTATGGCTTCCTTCGGCGATTCTATTTTACTGTTTTTTCGCCTTTTGCATTGTTGTAACGTTTCCAATTTTCTCCGAAGTGCTATATTTCTTTCCACTTGTTGAAGCAATTGGATTTTTATTTTTCTTGAAGATTCAGTTATAGCGTAAGTGTGGTCCACTAACACTTTGATTAAAAAATAATAATAATAAGGTATGATAAATGAGTAATCAATTTAGAGAACAGACGTTACCTAGACTGGTTACTAGACTAACCTGGATTTGTAGCAGCGACGGCAGTGTTTGAAAAGAGCAGACTGGATGCTCCAATAACTATGTTACAAGTATTTTGTTCATTGTCATTAAGCCTACCTCTTATATGGACCCGTCCGCTTTCATTTTTCTAACGTCCAATAGACAAAGACATATCGTTTATAATCGATGTCTTTTACTTTGTGACATTATAGTTAATGCTATAATATAAGTCTATATTTTTACAAAAACGTTCCCTTTTTCAGATGATCAGGAAATTCAAATATTGAGGGAACCGCATCCTTTTTTAGGATCTCGTGTGTAGTTGATGATAAATAATAAGAATTGCTGCTAAAATGAGCCGAACAAAGAACAGACCACCTAGTTGGTTGCCATTTAGTTCTTTTTGTGGCAAGAATCCATTTTCTTTTTAATGTCAGCTCAGAAGGAAATCTACAAATCATAATTTAAAGTAATGTAAGACAGAACACGGTATGTAAAGGCTATCATACATGTATAGCAATTTAAAATATATACATTATTCGCTTACCAGTGAAAAGTAAGACTACATCCTCTAGTATTGCGGTTAGTACAATTAATCGCGCAACAGCTATTAACCATTTTATCGTAGAATCTAAATTATACGTACGGAATTTACACAATTATTCGAAAGTAGAAAACTTTCGCTTCTGCCCCGAATATGGTGCTACTTCCTGTTCCAAGGCAGCTTCACGACACTAGCGCCAGCTACCACTCTGGATATACATATTTCTTTACTCTGTGGTCCCGTTCCTCATCACCCGGCCGCCCCATTGTGAGCCTGGCCGAACTTGCTAAAAACAACCCTTTTAGAGTTCACAGAGCGGAGAGTTTTGTTTTATTTTTAAAGTAATATTAAAGTTATTTTTAAAATTGTTGGAAAGTATTTCTACAACAAGAAAATTTAACACAAGGATTTGATACAAGTTAAAACAGGCAACAGGGAAAACCCTCCTCGAAGGCAAAGAAATTTCGAAGTAAAATCCTATCGACTTCAAACGAAGAGTCAAGCCCGACATCGGGTCTTGAGTCTTACCAAAAAAATTTTCCAAGTAATTTCTGTATCCATTATCTCGATCCAAAATTAACAAAGAAAGTCGACTGGATAAGAGGTGAAAAGTGAGAAGTGTTGCACTAGAAATTTGTGGCGGAGCTGCGGGGCGCAAACAAGTGCAAGTGAATATAAGCAGTAAATCCCCGCTAACTCGAAAATTTTTTTCGAAACATTTCTCGACAATAGAAAAATTATAATAAAACAGTGTTTTCGATATCCAGAAGTCTTTGCGATATCGTGTGTCAGCGGCACACTCAGGATTTACTTTTGGGGGAGACGAGTTGAATAAATAAAATAATTTTTAATAAAAATTCAATAAAGTTCCCACCTTGTATGGCCGCTAATTCATAAATAATATAGAAATAGAATACACCATAGAATATAAATAAAAAAACATGAATTATACGAGCGCTAAGGTGGCTTTTCTTTTTCGTGAGACTTATTATACCATCAATAAAAAGAAGGGCAAGTTTAGAAAAAGTTTTTTTTTCTTTGAGTATGCATTTGGTACTTTTCCAACAATATTACCATGCCGTCATGTTTGCAGTTATACCTGTTAATCAATAATCGCCATCCCTAATTTATCTATTGTCACAACTCTTGCATTTCTCATAATCCATTTGTAACACAAGAGTTGGAAAGGGACATAATTGTCCGAAATGCATACTCAAAGAAATAAAAAGTTTTTCTAAAGCTTGTCCTCCTTTTTATTAATGGTATAATAAGTCTAGCAAAAACGAAAAGCCACCTTAGCGCTCGTAGCTACACAAGACTAGACAAGAAACGTATTTCATAAAAAAAACATGAATTTTAATTAGGAAAATATTTCAGGAAAATTTTCTGCTAATCATTTTCCTTTTTCTTTGCAAAGGGCCAGTATATATAAGTGGTGCACCCAGGGGAGAGGGCGCTTTGCCCTCTCCCTGGATGCACCACTGCTGTGCATTATTTGTTACTAAAGACTGTAAGTTGCTATAAACTGTACTGTCACGAAATTTTTAAGCTCATTTCCTGTAATAATAAATTCATCATTATAAAGTACAGTACTATGGCTCGGTAACATATCTGCCTAGAGCTGATTGTAATAAATTACTGAACCTTCTTGTTTACATGTCATCGGAGAAAACACCCGGCTAATTCGGACTTTCGTAAATTCGAACGACCTTCTCTCCTCTCAGTCCGAGTTAGAGGAGTCTGTTGCAATGGAAAAACTCGGCAAATAATTCCATTAACTTTTAAGTGTGATTTGTTTCTTTAGAAATTTCTGAAATTTTTCAGGGAAATTTGTGTATTATTGGGATTGATGCTATTAAATTTTGGTGATTAAAGGTCGATGGGGTGGGGAGATAAAGAGGTCGTGTGTCACATCTCGAGTACGGTCGGACTTAATGGTGATAACACTTTTACTCGTTATTATAATTTACATTTTTTTATAAAACCTATGCATACTCTCAAAATTAAACTTTTTGCTATTTTATAATAATTAAAAATATAAAGCTTTTTCATAAAATATCGTAATAGATGGACCCACCAAAATTTTAAATGTTGCCAGGAAATTAAACAATTTGTTGAATTCCCCCGTGATAACTCCACAATTCTTAAGCATTCATACTTTTGTACTTTTTCTGTTTTCTACTTTAGATAAAAAAAAAAAGTTTTAAACCAATAATCCCACCGTTTATTAGTTATAACGAAAGGCTTTTCAACGGAAGTAGATCTGATAAAACAATATTCCCTGCCCATTCAGTAAAAGTTGATTTTGAAATGATCCAATTACCCCTACCTTATCCTATATAGATATTCTATATCACCGATCGCGCGTGTGTTTGAATAATAAAAACTGTAAAACACTTTTTAAATTGTTTAATTATTTTTATTAATAAATATATCGTGTAGCCTGTCTTTGCATATATCAGTTGCTAATTACGATTGTCTCATTATTATTATGTAATTTGTTTCTATTTTATTCACCAATAAAATTAGAAGAAAAAAATACATCAAGTTTTATTGAAAACAATAATTCTAAACTGATTTACAATCATTTAGAAAGATAAATCTTTCTAAATTTCTTCAAATAAACACTTAGAGACAAATTCGGGAACTTTTTCAATATTTGATCAAACCTGCTCTTGAAAATTCATTTCTTGAATAAATACGTTAAACTTATCACAACTACACTTGACTGAAATTAAAAAATTATTTAATATTAATATAATTACAGGTAAATTAATTAAAACTGTGTTCCACTCTGGAATGCGTGATCGTAGACTAATTTGAAGAATTTTCAATAAATAAATTTAAAGTTTACATAGAAAATTCCCTTTTGACTAATCTCATATAGAAAATCGTTTTGAGTCGAATGCTACTAGCGTCGTTTAGTTACAAGTGATTTCAAGGCAAGTACAGTACATATAATTAATTATTCGCAACTTTCATCATAACGACTTTAGAAGGATTTAAATCCGATAAGCTTCACATTTGTATATAATATCAGAGTTCAGTAATAATATTCATGCAATAGCGTAGCTAGGGGAGGGCGGCAAATTTTTGGTCTAATGAATGTTTTTTTGTCGGGATAGAAGGATACAAGACACCAGACACAATTTTATTTTTCCCCGAAAACACTGCTTATTGTTGGAAATTTCCGACATTGGTAAGGATTGTGTTCCTTTAAAAATGGCCTTATTGACCATCATACCTATTAAAGCATTTAGCTTTGCTTAATTAGTAACAACATCGGTAAGTGCCCTAATTTTTTCATGGGTTTTTCTCTACAGTATACGTCGTTTTCACTTTCTCTGTAATTCGTAGGCATGTATGTATGTTCGCAGAGGGGGACATGACACCCCGGGGTACTTCTCCCGCTCTGGGATCGACTAAAAATTCCACAAATTATAATCGTAAGTGATTGAGATGTGTAACCAAAGGACGCTTTGTCAGTCTTTTTGTGTTCTATAATCTAGTTGTGAAAAAAAATTCCAAAAATTAAATAATTAAATAAAAATTTATTGTTTGTTTCTTCACTACTAGGTGTATAAATAGACACAAGGCATTTTACATCATCTTTATTGATCTTATTGATAAAAATTTATTGGTTTCCTTCAGCTCCTTGGGCTCTGCTTTGGTGAGGTGAGGCCTCATCAACGCATAGCCTAAACAGCTGAAGAAATTTAGGAAGTAGTCAAAGATGAGTTTAGAACAGTGGTGCGCAAACTATTTTCATTTCCGACCCCCATTTTGTGTAAAATTTTTTCGCAGCCCCGGATAGATGGTAACCTTTTTTTTTAATCGTCAACGTAGTTAAACTAAAATTTTTTCTGGAATTTGCACTTATATTTTTGTCTTATTAAAGGTCTGAATAAAATACATAATTTTATGAAACAATGGTTTTATTTATGCATATGGGTATAAATATTTATTTAATGAAAAATACTTTTAAAAAACTTTACATTATAAGAATTCAATGTGAGGTATGCACTTGCAAAGAGCTCATGATTGCTTTCTATGTTCGGATCTGTATTGGAAATCGCAAGCCGTAAGTCATCCTCTGTCTGTATTAGGTAATAATATAGACAATTGTTTTCGTAAAAAAAATATATGCTATTTTTATAAATAATATAATTTCATTTCACTGTTTTACCGGTACCTGATACTTGTTGAAGAAAAGAACTTATATTTTTTATTCTCAAATAAATTTCTTTGAATATGGCGACCTCGAAAAATTTTCTCGCAGCTCCCAAGGAGTCGCGACCCACGGTTTACGCATCACTAGTTTAGAATGTAGCCAAGAGCGTCGCCAGCCAATGGGCCAGGGGGCAAGATGATATAAATTGATAGAGGATATGAAATGTATGTAGGTAAAATAAAAACGATTCATAAAGTTTTAATCATTTACTATGTACCAGAGAAGAAATATCTTAATTAAAACATTATTTTTTTAACTTACAAGAAGCCTAATAAGATTATTTTAATTAAAACTTAGCATTTAAATAATTTTTCGAATTTCTAGGGGGGCAACTGCCCCCTCCTGCCCCTCCTTGGNTGTACCAGAGAAGAAATATCTTAATTAAAACATTATTTTTTTAACTTACAAGAAGCCTAATAAGATTATTTTAATTAAAACTTAGCATTTAAATAATTTTTCGAATTTCTAGGGGGGCAGCTGCCCCCTCCTGCCCCTCCTTGGCGACGCACTTGAATGTAACCCATCATCTACAATCCTCCAATGCATGGGGACAAATTTAGAGGCGTATTTCACCGATTTGTGACTATTCTCCAGGGCTGTGGAGTCGGAGTCGGAGTCGGAGAGGTGGAGTGTTGGGGCCGGAGCCGGAGTCGGAGTCGGAGTCGTCAAAAAATCCGCCGACTCCGATTCCCTTTTTACTTAACAACTTGTTATGTATATGAAACGGAGTCGGAGTCGGAGTCAGTAGATTTTTACGCGACTCCACAGCCCTGCTATTCTCCCAGACTATACCTCATTATCGGACTTGATGCTATAACCTGGATTTGACATTTTTATCCGAATGTGACAGAATGATGATTCTCGAATGGACTTTCGAATAAGCTTGGAGTCATTTCCTTCGGACTTTTGCGTTTTAACATGCCGTCCATGCCGTCCGTGGAGGCTGTGGAAGCACCGCTCCCCCTGTATTTTCTAAAATTTAAATACATATTGTGCGATTATTTTCATATTTTAACGTACTTTGAATTAATTAAATTAATATTTCATTATAACCGCATTACGTATTTCTATACTACATGTGAAAAAACGATAAGATCGCTATTGTATATTCTAATATAAATTCGTATATGCATTTTTCCAATGGAAGCGCTGTATTGTCGAATACGAGACAGCTTCCACGGCGACAATATTTGAATCGTGTAAAGCAAGGAGTATGTATACTTACTCCATGGTGTAAAGCAGCCAGATTACAGGCATTCGCGCATGAGCTTTAAAGAGCATCAACCTCGCGATTTAGCTCGTGGATGCTACACATCAAAATATCGTAAAACGCTTCCAGTGATTCTATCCAGGACTGGCACAGCTTCCATATCACCAAATGTAACCGCACACCACTGTGTTTTAACTGTACATTCATTTTCTATATTGTGTTTGCAGTTTTGGTTTCATCGATGGACTGAGTTTTAAACTCTTCAAAAAACGAATTGAAATTTATAAGAATCATAATCATAATTTGTACATATTTTAATGTTTAAATTGATTTAAAATTTCGTGCTTTAATTATTCGTATTTTGATTTAAGAAATAGATTAAAGTTCTGGAAAAAGATTAATACAGTACTGTATTGTGAATCATTTACTAGTAATAATTACAAATATTAAAGTATTAACTGAATTATCAAATTTGGATTCTAATTGCTAAATACAAGTAAATGCAATCTGTGAGTTGTTGGAATTGCAGTTTTCAAGAAAAATTTTAATGGTAATGAAAATCTCTGAAAAAAAGATAATCAACGAAAATCATTTTAACACGTATTTCTAAGCAATTTATCGATGGCAATTGAAATTATTTAAAGAACAGATCGATTTTGTAATGTGTACTTATTTATTTATAAATATACAAACAATATTACAATAAAACATCAAACATTTGTAAAAATCTTAAATTACTTACATTTAAGAGTTTTAAATACATTAATTTCAAAACTTGATTGAAAAACAATTTGTTCTAGTGTCTCAAGTTTACAAATTAATGAATTTGAGTATAATGTTTTCATTTATCATTAATTAATATAAAAATATATAAAAATAAAAAAATACAATCACTATTAGTTTCCTATTTGCAGTATTACTACAATCAATCTGTACTGATTAAAAGTGTTACAAATAAAAATATTTTGTAATAAAACAATTTTCTAAAAAAATATTGAGTATATTAACACATTTCAACATAATGAAGTGATACAATATAATTTATTAACTTCAGAAATATAAAATGTCATTTCAATCATAAAAGCATCTTCATTTATATTAAATTCCTTTCACTTTTTACAACTTATTTGTACTAAAAACTCAAAAAAATTCATTTCAATTTCACTACAACTAAACTATATAAATCTAACTTAAGTGGTTTTCTCAGAATTAACTGCTTGTAAATTAAAAGAGGATGGATATTCTCTTTTAAACTGTACTTTTTACTAAAATTTATGAATTATCACATCATATATTGATGCTTTATTTATTCAATATTTATTTACTTATTTAAGTCTGAATTATCAGATCATTTTAATATTAATTCAACCATTTAAGTTGACTAGAATCCTACAACGCAATAGATATTTTAAAAAATAATGATTGTCATCCAATCAAAAATAACTTGTGAAGAAAAAGTATAATCATTCCAAATAAAAATATTTAAAAACTTTTGATGATCATATTCAATATTTTGTAATCTGTAGAGTAATTTCATGTAATCAAGACTATCTTCATTATTTGCTTTTACAATTACAATGAATTATTATTTTACATTAAACATAATTAAACAATATATATATAAACTAATATGAGAAATCTACAGTATATTGTTGTTTCTTGATTCTCAAATATATACTTTATAGCATAAGTTTAGAAATTTTTGGAACGAAAATAGTCTTTTTCCTGGATGGTTTTTTTGGTAGTGAAAAAGAACCATGCCCTAAATTAAAACAACCCAATTTATATGTTGCTAAGATCACCTCGTGAAGCCGAGCTTCCAGTTCTACGCAGCCATGTAACTTATGTTTAGAAACTTGTAGATCATAAAATCGAATGCAAACGTCTGTATACTTCTTTAGATGTGGTGCTCGAAAACAAATTGGTGGTGGATTGTGAACTACCAATATAGATATTAACGTTAAAAATTAAATTACTTCATATTTTAATTTTCAAAACTTACCTGAAATGGTTTCATTGTAAATGGTTTTGTTATCAATAGTGACAGTAAATGATAATCCATAATCATTTGGAAGATAAGTGAGATTTACACAACCTAAATACAATATACATATAGAGAAAAATAGATGATTATTAATTTGATATGCAAAATGCAATATATAATATGGGTTAAGATTCTAAAATTAATTTTATTTTTCAAATGACTAAATATTTTATAATTTCAAATTTAAACTTTGAATATTTTATGCTTCTTTTATAAAAAAATTAATTAACAACAAAATAAGATATCTCAACATGTACAGTACTTGTTTAATATGATCACTTTTATTTCTGAGAATTTTAAAACCATTACTAAGAAGAGTATTTGTTTTTTAATTTTAATGCAACAATGAGATACTTATTGAAAAAAATATGATATTATGGCAGTTGTAAATTCCCTAACAACTGAATTTAAAAAATGATATATATATTTTATCATAAGTTTCATTTTTATTCAATAAAATTTTTGTTAATTCATTTCAATTTACGTATTTATCATACAAATATTTATTATAAACCATCACACTTTTCATTATTTATACCTGCAAATTTCGATTTTCTTTTATTATATGACATCTCTTAATATGTTTTAATTTTTTGTGTTAATAAACAATTAAAGTTTTAGGGTTTATCACACTGACTCACTTGACTAATGTTTAAATTACCAAAAAGGTCTAACTGAAGAGGAGCCATTATAAACTCCGAAATGCATTTTAGATTGGTAATAGTGTGCATGTATATAGATGTATATAATTAATTAATAAACTCCCCTTGTCAAGTGAGTCAGTATGATAAGCCTTAAAAGTTTAATTGTCTATTAACAAAAAATTATAATAGTAATAATAAGGGCAAGAAGCTATAGTATTAATATATGTTGTTTAATGCTTTGTTTTTAATATGGGTGCGAAAATCAATTGTCAGACATTTCCTACTCTAATTAGCTATATAAAATTAGAATAAATTTTAAAATTTTTAGTGAAAATTGAGTGAAATCTTATCATAATATGATTCTAAAAATATATTTAGGATTAATCCAATTTTGATTTTTATTATGATAACTTATCATATATTGTATTTGTTAAACAATCTATTTTTGAAAAAATATCAAAAACAGTCTTCCAAGTAAAATAGATCTTTATTATGATTATCTGTTGTAGATCTGTTTTATATTAAGATATATATGCTATAACAATGTTATAACTACTTTTGAGAGTAATTGACATTTAATTTGTTTTTACTTTTGTTAGTTATTTCAACCTAAAAAATAAAATGTGTCTTCATTTACAATTTAATAAGATTTTATTTTACAGTGAGTATTCAGTAAAAGTTAAAAAGAAAAAATTAAGGATCACAGATTTGATACTCCGTCAATGCCATCAGTAAGCGATTCTCTGCACAGTAGCTTACAGTAGCTAATACAGCTTGCAAGATCACTGATTTTTAATCTTTCAGATTTCTGAAGAAAATGGAGTTTTAAATAAGCCTTATTCCATTCAACAATTAAAACTTTTCATCAAAACAGAACGTAACAGTTATTACAATTGCCACATTTTATTTAATGAATGTATTTAGAAATGTGTCAATGTATATTTTGAGATCATGTTTATACAAATGAATTCATAAATGGGTTTACATATATATATATATATATATATAGAAACATAAAACTAAAAGAAATTAATAAGATTATTGATAATTTAAAGTAGGAATAACTTTTGAATGTTTTAGTATATTGTAGCAATCTACAGTAAACATATTCTATTCTATTTATTAAATTGCATTATATTTTATCCAAGAAGTAAAGGAATTTCTCAAAATTAAAAATTCAGAAAATTGCTTATTCAGATTTTTGTATTTCAATTATTACTGATGAGTTATTTTATTTTTAATTAGTTAAGCTCATTTTTTTATAATATAAAATTACAATGTCATGAATGAAGGGAAACAATATGAAAAAATAACTGTAGTTTTACAAATACAGTCGACCCCCTATAAGACAGTAGATACGTTCCGTTTTTTATGAAATTGATGTTTTAGGAGACCTTGCCAATCACAGCCCGACACGTGTGAAGTTTACGGACTACGGCTGTTTGAAAGGTTTTCTTCCATAAAATTAATCGATTCCTAGACTAATTCGACTCAACATTTCCAAAACACGTATATTTTTTTGGGAATAATCCGTATAAACTATACTATAAACAAACAATTGTAGGATTACTTACCGAGTGTGCACCGTTCGACGTCGCCATTGCTTAAGCTTGTTTTCGTCGCGGAGCAGCGCACAAAACGGCGTGATAAGTTACTTTTCTGCGAAAACTTCGTTGAACTTTGGAGACATCATTAATATAAATAATTTTTATGGCCGTTGAATAAGAAATGTTTCTTTCACAAGAAATGTATAAAATTAGTGCTGTATTAGACTTACGGTACCTAATTTAAATACTGTACAGACGATAGTAAATTCAACTTACTCGCCTAAACTCTTCGTAGCGTGGCGCTGGACGGCGGAAAGTAGTTCGGCTGTCCGATGACGTTTTACCGAATTATAGGAGTTTTTTTTACCATGTTTGTACGGATACCGTCGCAATTTTTTCGTTGTCATATAGGAATCCGAACTATAGGAACTCGTGTTATAGGGGAGTCGACTGTATATTGTAAACTACATTCGACCTTCCCTATAAAATGAGTTCCTATAGTTCAGATTCCTATATCACAGCGAAAAAATTGCGACCGTATTCGTATAAAGACGCTAAAAGAGACTCGTAAAATGCGGTAAACGTCATCACCGACTCGTGTCGCGACAAGATTGGTCGAATCTGGACCAATAGTGGACGAGCAGCCGAACTACTTACACGCTACGGAGAATTTAGGCGGGTAAGTTGTTTACTATCGTCTGTACAGTATATAGGCTTAAATTAGATACTGTAAGTCTAATACAGTACTGTAATTTTATACATTTCTTGTGAAAAAACATTTCTTATTCAACGGCCATAAAAATTATTTATATTAATGATGTCTCCAAAGTTCAGCGAATTTTTCGCAGAAAAATAACTTATCAGAAAAATTTCGTCATTGCTTAAGGGGTTAAGGGGTCGCGGAGCGCCGCTCCGCGACGAAAACAAGCTTAAGCAATGGCGTCGTCGAACGGTGCACACTCGGTAAGTAATCCTACAATATTTTGTTTATAGCATAGTTTATACGGATTATTCCCAAAAAATTATACGTATTTTGGAAATGTTCAGTCGAATTAGTGTAGAATCGATTAATTTTATGGAAGTAACCTTTCAAACAGCCATAGTCCGTAAACTGCATACGTGCCGGGCTGTGATTGGCTGGACTCATAGAAAATGGATTCATAAAAACTGGAACGTATCTACAGTGTCGATTGTATAATGAATCAATTATAAATTTATTCAAATTACCTGTATCATTCAAATAAGTCTTTGGTACTTCTAAATGGGCACAACAGCCACAAGTATATTTATAACAGCTGCATCCAGTTTCATCAAAAGTAAATATTGAATAATTGTAGACACCAAATGCTATATTAAATGAAAAAATAAAAAAGTTAATGTGAAATATTTTTATAGTATACTCACATTATACTATATAACAAAATTAATTTTAAGATATAATTCATAATATTAAATAATTGAAGCGCTCAGGGACGTATAGTGCTGTCAGAATCACATCTCTGAGGTAACTGAGTTTGAATGTTCGAAAAAGTACTAAAATTGTATAAACAGTTGTGTATTAATATTTTTGCTCTTCAAACATTGCCTATAGATGTGGATGTCATCTCATCGTTTTGGAAATTTTTCATTTTACTATATGTTTTACATTTTAGTACTATATATCTCTAAGAACTTCAATTATTACTAATAACAGCTATAAATTTTAGAAAAAAGACAAAGTTATTAAGTTGTTTGGTTAATATAAATCTTTTCACAAATGTTAATTTTATCATATTAATGGATTAGAGAAATAATTTACATTTATTTATTTATCATGAATTGCTATGAGTAATGGCTGTGAGTAATGCCCAACAGGACAAAAAACCTCCTTTATAACAAGCCCTAAAATAAATTTATATAATTATATCTGTTCAATCTAACAAATTGTTTTAAAAGGTACTACATAACTTCTATTCATATTAATAACAAACATTTTTATACAATTATGCTCAATCTTTTGCTAAAAGAATTAAATTATCAGTTAAGCTTTTACTGTTCATAGACAAATATCAATGTTTACATTTGCCATAAACAGATGACTAGACATTTGATATTAATCTATCCTGAATCAAAAATAGAATATCATAATTGATAACAAAAATTTTATGATATATCATGAAGTCTGATGTAGATTTATTATGCCTAATATTAATTATATATTTTTTCTTGCAAGTTAGTCTGATAATCAAGTTTCTCAAATTGCTATATTTTATTTCCATAAAATAGGATAAATTTTATTTTGAATAATATAGTATGCAAGAGCAATATTTGGCCAGAAATTTAAATCTACTCTAGTAATTAGAATAGTATGAAATTTTCTAAACTGAACTATATATATATAATTCCATATAAACATGGGAAAAGATGAAGATGACGAAGAAGCAAAAGATATACATTTTGAATAGGATTATTTGCCCATCATTCCTTTCAGTAAATAATGTACAGTATTGAAAAAAACCTTAAACCTGTTGCTTTACAAAATGTTATTCTTTTTGCTCTTAATATTAATTTACCAACTCCCTTTATCTGTACCCATTTTACTTTATTTTCTTTTATCAATCCCTTCATTTCTGGCTGAATATACAGTAAAACTTCAATTATCCAAGATAAAATGTTGACCAATTCTACCTTGGATAACCGAAAACTTGGATAAAATGACCACGGACACTTCTGAATTCAAAATACAATTATAAAAGATTTATATGGTGAGACTTTTAAGACTCTTTTTACACCTTATTGAATTTATCATATATAAAAACATTTTCTACATCACTTATTATACAACTAATTCGTACAATACTTTCAAGAATAGGCCCACCAGTGGCCAAGCAGTTCTATTCCCTGAACACTGGGAATTCTGTCATGGGTTCGTGCCTCGCCAGGATGAGCTGGCCACATTGAGTTGTCATAGTTTTCTCTATGTCTAACAGCTGAATAGAGGCCATTACACTTAAAAAGACCTCCTGGAAGGCATTCCCCCTAGGCAGATCGCACAAGTGTTGCATTGCTGTAACTTAACAAACAAACAAACAAACTTTAAAGAATAAAAATGTGTATTATTGTAGTTATTTTAGTATGAGTGGTTTGTCTCACATTAAAGTTAAATAATAAAAGGTAACAAAAACAAATCATTTTGTTGTCAAATATTTGTTATTGCTTGAAACTTTCTTTAAAAAGTCTTTTAGTAGTTTTGTTATATAGCAGTTCCTCCATTCTTTGCCACAGTGTTCCACCATCACCTCAGCATCAGCCTTTTGCAGTACCATCAACATTAGAAATACACTATTTACCCACTCAGTGCATTCGTAACAAAGATTTTACAAATTATAACGTAAGAAAAGTAATGTATTCTTTAACAAGTTCTGTTTGGATAATACGGTAACCCAGGTTAATCGGGACTCGATAATCCGAGTTCTACTGTATTCTGCCAATCAACTTTACGAAGATTAAGATATAAAGAAGTTATAAAGAAATGTCTTAACCACGGTCATATTTTCAATTATAAATATAAAGTTAATATCATATTTACTTATAATAAGAGCATGAAAATTACATTTTCTTGAAACAGAAAGCTGAAGTTTACTTCAGATAAAATTATCTTTGATTGAATAAAAAAAATTGTATTGTTAAGTATTATTTTACTTACAATTTCTCATTCGCGTATATAATTTAACATTTTATACATATCATTTGCAGCAAATAAGCTGTTATAATTGAGGCTGTGAATTCTGTCGGCATTATATGTCAATCAATAAGGCTGTCTGGCTGTAACATTATTCATATCAAACGATTTTGTAATTTTAATTTCCTCAGAAACATAAAAAAAACTATTAAAAATTAATAATGTGATTACAATTAATTACTTACCTTCACTTACAGTGAACAAGAAAACGAGAAATATTAAATTCTTACAATTAATAGAATTCATTATGAATAAATCTGCTTTATCGATTGAATATTGGCGAAAGTATAAATATTTCCACGCAAAACATTTATCTACTGAAAACGTAAACAAACGAAGAGAATTTTATGAATCAGCGCCATCTCAATAAACAAGAAAAATTTCACTTATATTTACAGACTGTTCTGTACAGTGCTACAAGCTAATAATTGGAGAACACTTGACCGATGCGAACCGTCCTTTTTATTTATTTATTCTTTTTATTTCAAAGGATTTTCTCGTGATAATAACAGAATCATGTCTTTCGTAGAGGGACGGGGCAACTTTGAAATTTCAAACGGAACCCAACAGAAAAGTGTAATTTTGGATTGTGCGGATAAAGCCAAGATACTGAAGCATTTATTTAATTTAACAGCTATTGAGTATAAATTTTTATATCATTTTGTTTTGAAAATATATCATTTAAATTGGTTACTAGTTCCAGAAACTGATGTGAAGCCATTTTTTTTCTTTTCGATCTTTTCTTCCTTGTGGGGGCCAACTAGTGGCAAAGCGGTTCCGTTTCGTGAACAGTAGAAGTTTGGTCGTACGTTCGCGCCTCGCTCGGACGGCTGGCCACGTGGAGTTTTCCGGGTTTTCTCCACGTTTGTAACGCCTAAATAGGGGACAGTTTCCCTTAAAAACACCTCCCGGAAAAAGACCTTTGACTTAAACAACATACTGAAACATTTGTATACATATACTGTATAATATCCACTATTATAAGTTACGTGTATTAAAAGTTACGGGCAATTGAAGCTTTGAGTTCGTTCAGGCTGTTTCCGACGAGAATGCAATAATTAGAATATTTTGTCTGTTTATTTTGTTAAATGTTCGAATTATTGACCATTCCTTTTTCTAAATATTCTTCATTCTTTCAACAGTCATTCTTTTGATAAAATTCTGTCCAACTCGGCATGACATTTCGATAATCGTTATAGCAAAATTTTGACGTATTCTGTTTCGTGTCTTTTCTGGTAACAGGTGATAGGAATATAATATTTTACTTGACGTATCCCCATATAAAGTAATTGCGAGGTGTGAGATCGACATTGAACAAGTTCTCCACGTCACTATTTTTTATTTATTTTTTGAGAAATTTAAATTAACAATTTTTTCTCTACTTTATAGCGCTCTCTGGAGACGATTAATATTATTACGATATACAAAACTGTATTTCTAGATTTTCTACAGTGTGCAGAGCTAAAAATCTGTAAAGGTAACATTTTGTAACAAAAATGAATCTGCCCGGGGATTTTTTTTTTAAATTTGGTAAATTGAAAACGTGGTAACTCCTGAATAAAATCTTAGTCCCCAGATTATAAAAGGCGTGCATCAATTCTGGCATCATTTTTTGCTTTTTAGTGGTAGCATTTATGGTATTTGTGCTCAGCGGAGGATTAAGCGGTAAGCGGCCGCTTAGGGCCCTGAAGGAGCCCCCGAGGTTTTTAAAATGCTACTGAAAAAAAGGGATTCCGAAAACGCAGAAGATATAGATAGTCCAGAAAGACTCTTCGATATAGATATCGAAGTAATAAATGATATAGCTTCACGGTCGACAAAATTAACAGATGCTATTATTGACTATATTCTTAAAATCAAACCAAGAAGTATTAGGAATACAGAAAATTTCAAATCTATACTAATATTATAAAAAGGTAAAGTTTGTAAGTTTGGATGTAGGAGGTAATCTCCGAAACTACTCATCCGATTTCAAAAATTCTTTCACCAATATTTAGAATGGACCTTCAGGGTGGACATAGGCTGTATATTATTTCGTTAAACATTCATATAAATTAAAAGATATCATCTAGGTAAGCGTTATATTTTTGGTGTCAGTGGGTGGCGACGAGCAAGACGCGTACGTATACGAGAAAAGTAACCGCGCGGCGCAGTGCACGTGTTCGAACTTGTAGTATATGAAGTTGACACGGGAAACGCATGCACATAAGTTCGCTTTATTCGAACTCTTAATCGCTTTATTCGAACTCTTAATTCAAAGCATAAAGTCGAATATTATGAAGATAGAATCGAATATTATCGAATATTATACTGTAACTCTAAATTCAAGCATAAAATCGAATATTAAGATTAATCTTAATATTCGATTTTATGCTTGAATTTATATTTATAAATGATTCGAGAAGATCCAACTTATTTTTCGAATTTAGTAAACTAGAAAAAGAACCCAGAAGGGGTTACGAAAACCAGAGCCGTAACTAGCCATTCCTGTGACCTGTGCAAGAATTTGCATTTAGGCCCCTTAATTTATTTGGTTTGGGAAAATAATAAAACAAATATATTACAATAGATTTTTAATAAGATTTATTTTAATTGAACTTTTCTGGCTTTCATTTCAGCAAATTCATTAATTACATAATCATAATTAATATTTTTAATGATAATGTATTCTATTGAAATAATAGAAATGTTGGACAATCGTTCTTCCCCGATAGTTAAACTTAATAAATTTTTTATTAATTTTAACTTGCTAAAACTTCTCTCGCACGAAGCAATAGAAACGGGAAGAGTTGGAAATATTCGAAGAGTGACATTGATATTTGAGTAACACTCAATTAAACCAAAATCATGAAGAGCCTGTAGAATATTAAGCGGAGATGCAGTTTCTATATTTTGTATAAGAGTCGTTACTACAAAATTAAAATTTTCGATTTTACTTCTGAATTCGTACTTTTTTAAATCTTTGCTATATTTAATAAACGGGTTGTGTTGTCGCAAACGAGGCATCTCTCTCTGACTCAACTGCTTCCATATGTCGTTTATTGTTACCGCTCGGCAGTCCAGACGGCAAGGGAGACGATGACGATATATATCACATATTATCGTTCATTTAGTTTTTTAAATTTCTTCCTCCCCTCGGCCCCCACATACTAAATTTCACCTCTTTAGGTTAACGGTTTGTTCTGGGTGATGATGAATCAGTGACTCAGTCAGTTAGGACAAGTAATTTTATATATTTGGATAATTATATTATTGTTAATTGTTTTTAACACAAGTATTATGTGTACAACTTTTCTTGTATTATATCAATAAATTTGTTTTGTAATAAAGCCTTTCTACGATTTGGAAATTTGTTGTTTATTCAGTAGCGACAAAGTAGCGACTTTTCAAAATATCTGTGGCGAAATCAGCGACTTTTATTTTAAAATGTAGCGACATTTATTTACGAACGGTTAGGAACACTGCAAGGAAAGCGCGTGTTCAAATAAAGCACGTAATTTTGACGAAGATATGATTTTTGTTTTATAACGTTTTTACAGGTTGTAATGTCAATTTGTCTCTTAACAAATAAAAATTTTAATAACCTAAGTTATAAAAGCGTGCGTACTTAAATATTTTTCGAAATATTACCATCTAATTTCTCCTTAACTATCTAAGTAAGATTAACATCATATTCAATAGTTCAGTAATTGATATAAAATAATTTTTAAAAAAATTGAATCCGTGGCGTTTCCGAGTAGGCACTGGAAAAAATCAGAACCATTTTCTCTCTCGAAATATTCTTTCTCGAGATAGAGAACGTTCTCTAATACGATTGTACAACGCAAGTAGCATCCAGTCGTCCATATTGGATATAACGAAATCAAGGCAAAAGACGAAAGACGGGTCGAAAGATAACTATTCGCGCGCCTCTGAGAAACGAGAGAAAAAGTTGTCCAGAATCGCGTTTGGAGAGACGCGATGATCTCTCGAAACGTAAACAAATGATTAGCCAATCAGCGAGCGGCTTGTGAGAGACGAGAGACCAGAGACAACGACCAGAATATGGCCCCAGATCAACCCGGTAAGCTGGTAAAGTCATGCTTACTTTTTTCTTACTATCTTATTTGATAAGCAAGTTCCTTTGTTAATGGAATTCCTCCGGAAAGGACAATCAGCGCACCCGTGTACTGTGACACACTGCCGTTTGAGAACAGCAGTCAAAAACATGCGGCGCAGTTTGCTCAGCAGAGGCATCATTCCGCTCCACGATAATGCCCGCTCCATGTTATCAAGATCACAGCAGAATTGTTTGCCGAATTTGGTTGGGGAGTGCTTGACCACCTGCCTACAATCCGGACTTGAGCTTTTGCAATTTTCACCATTTCAATCCTCTGAAGAAACACCTCAAATAACACCACTATAAAGGCACCTTTTCATTTGATTGTACCTTAAACAATAAATGAAATTTGGATTTTTAAAACATTTGTTTCGAGTAAATAAAAATGAACAAATACAGTACTTGAATTTATATTATTATTATTCTGATATAGCCAATTTCTAACTACAGTCGACTCCCTATAACGCGGTAGATACGTTCCGCTTTATAAGAATTTCGCGTTGTAGGAATCCTCAAATACATGAGCCAATCACAGCCCGGCACGTGTGCAGTTTACGGACTATGGCTGTTTGAAAGGTTTTCTTCCATAAAATTAATCGATTCTAGACTAATTTCACTCAACATTTTCAAAACACTTATAATTTTTTGGTAATAATCCGTATAAACTATGCTATAAACAAAAAATTGTAGGATTACTTACCGAGTGTACACCGTTCGACGACGCCATTGCTTAACCTTGTTTTCGTCGCGGAGCGGCGCTCCGCGACCCCTTAACCCCTTAAGGAATGACAAAAGTTTTCTGAAAAGTTATTTTTTTGCGAAAAATTCGCTGAACTTTGGAGACATCATTAATAGAAATAATTTTTATGGCCGTTGAATAAGAAATGTTTTTCACAAGAAATGTATAAAATTACAGTACTGTATTAGACTTACAGTATCTAATTTAAGCCTATATATTGTACAGACGATAGTAAACTCAACTTACCCGCCTAAACTCTCCGTAGCGTGTAATTAGTTCAGCTGCTCGTCCACTATTGGTCCAGATTCGACCAATCTTGTCGCGACACGAGTCGGTGATGACGTTTTACCGCATTTTACGAGTCTCTTTTAGCGACTTTATACGAATACGGTCGCAATTTTTTCGCCGCGATATACGAATCCGTATTATATGAACACGCATTATAGGGGAGTCTACTGTATAATATTTCACACAGATTTGTGAGACCAATAACAAACAATGCATGATAACTTTATAAGTTCGAGTAGTAAGATCTTAGAAAAAGTTTGATATCCTCCTCGGGGAAAAACTTAAACTAAAATCATGTTGGTAGAAGTTTCACATATTTTATCACGTAAACACAAATCATGATTATATTAAG